CCTGTTTGGGCACCATTTCGGCGATCTTCTTGTTCTTCTCCTCGTCGATGAAGGCTTTGCCGCCCTTTCCGGTCGCCTGACAGTAGATCCGATAGATGGGAACCGCGGCGTAAGTGCCGCCCAATACAATCAGCACAAATGCGGTCGCGTATAGCATACCGTCCCGATTGCGAGACTTGGCGGACAGTCGCCGGAATTCACCCGTATTTAGCCACCGCCGCACCGGTAGTTGTACTGGTGATTGGCCACCACTGGCCGCAGTTAAAGCTGGTCCTATGGCCCGCCACTGATGGCCAGCGATGAGTGTTGATAGTCGCCGGCCGGTGGCGGTAGTTGTGCTGGTGATTGGCCGCCCCCACGACCCGTATCGCAATACTAGTAACCACTGATCGGGGGTTGATTTAGTGGCCAATCGCCGGCTGATTAACGTCGGGTACAACGTCTTCAGGTGTGTCCACAACTGGAGTGACATTTTGTTTGTTTGTTTCGCTGTTATCTCTTCGCCAACCGATAACCAGAACTGCCGACTGTCTGTCTGTCCGTACGGTCTGTTTCCACGGACACAATGGGTTGTGTTATAACACTAGTAATCACTCGTAAATCACTAGTAAATTCAGTTATGATTAGCGTTTTGTTTGTGTTGTTGTGATCACATGTTTGCACACAAACCGCACATTAAGTGTTCACAGCTGTTGTCATAGCGATAGGTATTGTGAGCCATAAATAACGTGTAGATTTTCTAGCCTTAAAAGTTTTGTGGGACTGTTTTCGCGGTGCGATTGAAATGTTTTGCGGGTCGTATAACTTGACATTCATTGATTATCATTGATTTAATAATTTACTTGTATATAATGTTAGTCCAATTTTTCAATAATAACATACATTATGTGGTAAACAGATTAGCAAATGACCATGTTAACTATTTATTATACAGTTAAATACAGTATAGTCAAAATTTTCTGGGTTTATTTTTATTTTATAAACTAATAATAATAATAATAATTTAATTTTCATTACAGAATATTAGCACAACAAAATAACATTGCTAAATTTTGCGTACAACCTTGTTTAAAAAACAATTCTCAATACAAACATCACAAACAATTGCAAACACTATCTCTACAGCACAGGACCTCATAGTGACGAATGGGAACTTCGTGGCCATCGAAAGAGACATAGAGTGTATTATGACCAGGGTGCACTTTGCCCAACACCATTGAGCCCGAATGGTAGGCCCGGCCGATGTACAACACCTGGCCATCACTTTGTTCGCCGCCCTCAATGGCACCGTACGGTACCTCCCCGTTGGCCGCCGGCACCCATACCATGTCTTTACCACTGGGATTGGTCAGCACCTGGTAGTCTCGGTGGCCGTGTTCGGCGCCCCCGTACGCCACGTAACACACACCGTGTGAGGGGACCACCTGTTTTGTAGGACAAAATTATTGAACTAGGTAATTATTTTGGGTAAATATTAGTATATTCCGGTTATAATATTAGTAAACATGGTTTGTATAGATTTTATACGATTATTTCTATAATGTAGAATACTATACTACTGTATATTATTGTGCAAATACTACACAATTTAGTTACAATTTAGTTAATTTGCAATGACCATGGTTTTTCAAGTAAATAACCAACTAATGTCTGGCGCGATGGACAGTACCTTTCCGGGAATGGTGTCCCCTTCCTGTACGGCTCGGCCAACGAATAGCGCTTCGCCATTGATATCATTGCCCCCTAAGACTGGTCTACCTCTGGGCAGTTGACCGCTATAGCACTGCTGCCAAACACCCGGACCTGAGTATTGATTTTCTATGGCACACATAAAGCAATTTTTATATTACATTTTATGTAAAATTTTATTTTATTAGTGCACTTTTAGATAGTAGTTTATATATTTATAATATCCATGATAGTATTCAATTAAAAGTACTCTATAAATATGCTAAAATTACTTACCATGATATATGTAAGCCATTATAATAAATTCAATTATGGTATTAAATAATTTGTAGCAAAAATTATTTTTGTAATAACTGACAAATCATTTAACAAAATTAAAACAATTAAACCTTATTTGATTTAAACCTTGATTTTTTTGTACAGTATATCCGTATTGTATTCTATTTATTCAGTCGCCTCATTGTTAACAGTAATACATACTATTAAATACTAAAATTGTCTGATTGTTAAAACACTTAATTATTGCAACAGAATTAATGAATATAAAATTTAAAGTAAATGTCCCTAAAACTTATGCATTAATTAGTTATTAATTACATTATATTAATTAAAACATATTTTAAATACAAATATTATATAATTTAATAAATTTAGCTTAAATAATGAATATATTGATGAAAGATTTGGGACAGGAATAGACATTTGGGATTTATCATAATTTTAAATCACATTCATTACCATCTATATATAATTCATTGAAATTGAATTGAATTTAACATTCAATTTAATAACATTTAAGTTAACATTCATGAATGTAAAATTTAAAAATCATTAACACTTTATAAGTGCACTTTTTAAAAATCTGATTAAATTTATTGTATATTTTGATGTTTATTGAAGTACTCAAGATATCCATATTTATATAATACATTATACTTTACATTATACCTACAAATAAATTATAAGTTATATTATTATTACAGCATTACTGAGGTATTGGGATATTTGTTATGATGCAAATTCTGAACTTTAAAGCACAATGTTTCATTATCAAGGTTTTATTATCACTGTAAATTATACAATAATAGTAAATGTTTTAATTCGTAATATATTCAAGGGTTTAGTACAGTTTTCATTATAAAGATAGATCACAACCAATTAATTACGTGTTAAGTTTGGCCGATAAGTTGTTGGTATGAAAAATTGATTGAATGTTTTTGCAAAAGTCGTATTGAAAAATATTGTGCTTTTTTATAAAAGTTATACCCGATTGAAGAGATATTGCGTGTGTCTTATCGTATGGATGAGTACAGACCAGAACTGATCGCACAATCGCTCAATGAGTTGAGCGCCGATCGGATGCGAGTGAGAGTTGTGGGCAAACAGTTTGAGTCAATCGCCGATCAGACGGAGCGATGGTTTGGAACCAAATACTCACTCCAAGACATTCCTCCGGAGAAGATTCAGTTGTGGCTAAACATTGGACTCAACGATCGGTTAGCACTTCCGCCGCCCAATGACTTCATTCCCTATAATCTAAACGTCAAACCAATTGAAGACAACAATCAAACAATACCTCAAATGATTAGAAACACAGAATTTTCTCGCATTTGGTATTTACAGGACTTTGAATACAGAAAACCTAAAGCCTATTATGCGTTCAAATTAACAAAGTATTACTTTATATGAATATAATATTTCCAAAAGTAATAATATTCATTTAATCTATAGTCCCATTGTATCTGACAATCCGCTCAATGAAAACATGGCCCAACTCTTCACCCGATTATTCCGGGATTCAGTCAATGAGTACTTATATGCGGCAGAAATGGCTGGGCTTTGGTTTAGCATGAGCTCAGGTCTCACAGGCATTACTGTAAGAAAGCGATTGAATTAAACATTAATTAAATCTATTAATCAAATAAATTATTTACAGATATATTTTGGCGGATATAACGACAAACTGAATGCTTTGGTGACCACTATTTTGGATCAATTGATTGCATTCAAAATTGATGCCAAAAGGTTTGAAGTATTTAAGGATATATACGTACGTGATCTGAAAAATCGCCATGCTAATCAAATGGCACAAATACTGTCAACCAATATGACAGAGATTACTACTGAACGCATTTGGACCGATGAAGAGCTGTTACAGACCGTCGATGACTTGACTGTCGCTAATATCACTCAATTTAGGGATCAATTTCTGTCCCGTTTTCATATCGAGAGCTTTATCTATGGAAATGTACTCAAGAGTGAAGCCATTGATATTTGCGATTCAGTTGAAAACAAATTCAAGTCTCAGCTCAAGACTAAACCCATCGCTCTTTCGCAGCACTTCTTGAATCGTGAGATCCATTTGACTGAAGGATCCGATTATGTCTTTGAGAGCAAGACTTCAATCCATAAAACAAATGGCATTAAAATCTATTATCAAATCGGAGTCAGAGATACGAAGACTAATGGATTGGTAGGACTTTTGCAACAAATACTGAAACAACCATTTTTTGATACATTGAGAACTAAACAACAGTTGGGTTATGTCGTCAGCGCTACCACTAGAGTGGCTAATGGTNGTTGGTGTCGGCATATCATCGGTGTTACAATCTTTTCCATCCTTTTCATTAATTGGATTATCAGTTACTATACTGACAGTCAGTTTGCAGCGATCGGGGGAGTCGTGGGACAAATGTTTCTGTTTGTGATTAAAATAAAACTTTTTAAATAATGTTAATTTTAGTCAATTTTTAGACCTTCATAAAGTCAATGATGTCTTGTTTTGTAATCTCTTTAATAGCCTTCACTTCAATCTCCTCTCGATTGAAATTATACTCTTTGGACATGACTTCAGCCCAAAGAGTCCAGCATTTATCCCATAAATTCTTTGGTTTCACGAGTTTTCTGGTAATCAATGCCTGTCTTTGAGTCTCGAAATCAGTTTCATTCATGTCTTCAATATATTTGTGAATCCATTGAATGTAAGCCTCGATTCTCTCGTTTAGAAAACTCGGCTTATAATCCGATTCAATGAGAAAACTCATGCCTAAAATATACCACAAATAATTCATTTTATTGTTAATATAGAAATAATTTTATTAAAGGTTCTCTTAAAGAAGGTAAAGAAATATTTAATATTTTTAGATATACAAACCGCAAACACCGTTAGCCCCTCTAATGTATGCCCAGACAACATAACCCAATTGCTGTTTTGTCCGTAATTTGTCAGAAAATGGTTGTTTCAGTATTTGTTGCAATAGTCCTATCAATGGATTAGTCTTCGTATCTCTGACTCCGATTTGATAATAGGTTTGAATGCCATTTGTTTTATGGACTGAAGTCTTGGTCTCAAACACATAATCGGATCCTTCAGTCAAATGGATCTCACGATTCAAGAAGTGTTGCGAAAGAGCGATGGGTTTAGTCTTGAGCTGAGACTTGAATTTCTCTTCAAATGCACCGCAAACATCGATGGTTTCACTTTTAAGTACATTTCCATAGATAAAGGCCTCGATGTGAAAACGGGACACAAATTGATCCTTAAATTGGGAGACATTACTGACAGTCAAGTCATCGACAGTTTGTATGAGCTCTTCATCAGTCCAAACGCGATCAGTAGTAATCTCTGTCATATTGGTTGACAGTATTTGTGCAATAAGATTAGCATGGCGATTTTTCAGATCACGTACGTATATATCTTTAAATACTTCAAATCTTTTTGGGTCAATTTTGAATGCAATCAATTGATCCAAAATAGTGGTCACCAAAGCATTCAATTTGTCGTTATATCCGCCAAAATATAACTGCAAATAATTAATTTAATTAATTTATTTAATTAATGTTTAATTCAATAGCTTTCTTACAGTAATGCCTGTGAGACCTGAGCTCATGCTAAACCAAAGTCCGGCCATTTCTGCCGCATATAAGTATTCATTGACTGAATCCCGGAATAATCGGGTGAAGAGTTGGGCCATGTTTTCATTAAGCGGATTGTCGGATGCAATGGGACTATAGATTAAATTAATATTATTACTTTTGAAAATATTATATTCATATAAAGTAATACTTTGTTAATTTGAACGCATAATAGGCTTTAGGTTTTCTGTATTCAAAGTCCTGTAAATACCAAACGCGAGAAAATCCTGTGTTTTTGATAATTTGAGGCTCTGTTTGATTGTTGTCTTCAATTGGTTTGACGTTTAGATTATAGGGAATGAAGTCATTGGGCGGCGGAAGCGCTAACCGATCGTTAAGTCCTATGTTTAGCCACAACTGAATCTTCTCCGGAGGAATGTCTTGGAGTGAGTATTTGGTACCAAACCATCGCTCCGTCCGATCTGCGATTGACTCAAACTGTTTGCCCACAACTCTCACTCGCATCCGATCGGCGCTCAACTCATTGAGCAATTGTGCGATCAGTTCTGGTCTGTACTCATCCATCAGATAAGACACACGCAATACCTCTTCAATCGGGTATAACTTTTATCAAAAAAGCACAAAACATATTAAATATTTTTTAATCCTACTTTTGCAAAACATTTAATCAATTTTTCATACCAACAACTTATCGGCCAAACTTAACACGTAATTAATTGGTTGTGATCTATCTTTATAATGAAAACCAATTTCAAGCATTTGTTTGCTTTCATCCCAAATCCATTGTGTAATTCCTTCACTCTATAAACAAAAATATAATAAATAATTTGTAAAAACAACTTTGCGATAAAAGTGCCTGTGATCCAAATACCTTAAGCATAGTAATATATTGAAATATTAAGGCAATAATATCATCTGTATGATTTATACCATCATCGGTTAAGTCGACATTTATATCAAAATAATCAAATTCTATGCCCACTGTTGGCCACCAAAGCAGGTTTCCGGCGGTCAAAGTGGTGCACCAGTTGTTGGCCTTCAGCTCCGACAGCAAACTGCCCCGACCTTCGTGTCCGATAAGGTGTACCAAATAGCGGTACGGCTTTGACCTATGGTTTTGACCATTGTTTTTGTTTTATTATATTTGTTTGACTTCGCTGTTAATTATAATCTATGGTTACCTGTAATGCGCGGACATATCTGTTATGGGAAACGCTATGTTAAGAGAGCGCTTGTCTTTGACGGGAACCACAAAATACTGTTTCCGCAGCCAATCGGCGGTCAAT